TGTTTGATGCTTTACTTATGTATTCGTTCTTATGGAATAAAAGAAGAATACTTGATGAATTATTTAGTTTCTGTAGCATGTGATGGTAGGATGCAAAGGTGGCATTTTCAATTTAATCAATAAAAATTTTCCTTCTGATATAGTTTGGCTTTGTGCTAATTATAGACTGGAATTATTAGTAGGCGATTATTAGGGACCATTAAGGAGATTTTTAGTATTAACAGATTTAAACCATTTCTTGATTAGCTTTACATCGTGTATCATGGTTCCCTAAAAAATAGCAGAGAGTCACATTTAGTCCATTTGGTAGACGCTCTACATACTATCCCCGTTTCCTCAATATATATATATATATATATATATATATATATATATATATATATATATATATATATATATATATATATATATATATATATATATATATATATATATATATATATATATAATATATATATATATATATATATATATATATATATATATATATATATATATATACATATATGAGAGAGAGATTTTGTTAAAAGTTAACATTTGCCTTTTTTTTTTTTAAACAATAAAACTTACACTATTACAACAAACAGCAGCACATCCAAGAATACTTGCAGCTAATGAAACTATAACGGAAATAATAACAAATACGAGAACCATGGTGAGAATTGAAGAAATTGTTGTCAAAACATCGCAACTATCAACTCCTAAATACGTAATAGAAGTAAATAAAATTATTGCTAAAATAACAAAATTTACTTTCCAGTATTTAATAATGAACAAAAAAAACAACAATTTAATTACATTTGCTCTTAATTTAAGGACCTAATTTTTTAGTTGAAAAACACGTTCAAATGAATAGCATATAATGAAGAACTTGTTAATAGTTTTTCATTCCTACAGCGTTATTTTGGCTAGCGCAAGACTTAAGCCTTGAATAATAGTGGCCAATTTTTGGCTACTGCGTTATTGCTGCTGTAGTACTATAAAAAAAGCTTATAAGTAATAATGTATGCTTGAAAGGAACATTTAATTAAATATTGAAAGACATTTTCTTTTTCATTAAGATATGCTTTGATTAGAGGAGACAGAACTAGGTTGTAAAGAGAGCGTCTTAAAAAACATATTCAAGTCAGGTAATACCTAAAGTATTATTAAATCAAAAATACTAAGTAAATTTTTTTTTAGTTTTAATCATTTAGATATTCCTATATATATTAAGGATTTGAGTCTTATTATTTGTATTTAGACTTAAATAGTTTGTTTTCTTAATGCTGTTGAGTTGACTTTTTTGACGCTGGTTTAGGGTAAAAATTTTAGATGATCGAGTTATATAATCGAATATTATTAGAGCAGGGCTGTGGAGTCGGAGTCGCTAAACAAAATTGCGACTTCGACTCTTATAGTAAACTTTCTCGGTATTGCACGTGCATGTACAAAACATTCAACTAACCTAATGTTCATACTAAACGTCAAAGAACGTTTTAAAAATTTGTCAAAAAAGAAATTTTTAACTCATCCCGTAGTATTTTTTTTAGAATTTAAAGCATTTTTCAAAAATTTTGCTTTGGATTTGGAGTCGGAGTCGAAGTCGGAGTTGTGCTCAAAAAATTTCAACAACTTGATTCGGAGTCGGAGTTGTACTCAAGAAATTTCAATAACTGGAGTCGGAATCAAAGTCTTTTTTTTTTTACGACTCCACACCCCTGTATCAGAGCGCTAAAAAGTTTTTCTATTACTAACAGCATTAGTGTCTTTAATTTTATTTTTAATGTCTTTTTAAATATTGCGACTTTTAAAATATTAGGAAATAATAGAAAATTAAAAATATTTTATAAACTTTCAATTAAATTAAATTTTGAATAAAAAAAATTGTTTGCTTTTTTTAAAAAAAAAAAAAAAAATAGAAAGTTTAAAAAAATAAAAGATTCACTAATGAATAATGAAATAATTAAAAATAATGAAATAAACAGTTAAAATTTATCAAAAATTAAATTAAAAAATTTTTTACACAAAAAGTACACAGAAGTAAAAATAAAAAAAGCTGAATTGTTTATCAATTTTAATTTTGTTGCACTTAAAAAGCTAAAACAAACACGTTTAAAAAGTTTTGCCAACATGTCGCTACCTATTTGCCAACATGTCGCCACCTATTGCTGATCATTATCATATCTCTATAATGAATAGCCGAATTAATATTATTATTAGTGCGCATAGTTACCCGTATTGTTTTATAGTTACGGTACGGTTTTGTATCAGTAAAATACACTTTTTAAGAAGTTTCTAGACTTTTCTTTACCGCGTGCTTTCTTAAAGATTTCCTTTCAACCTTTCATGGTACGAGTTCAAAATGTTCAAGTTGACATTAAGTAGATAATGTTTAGTAGCTTAAAATTATAGGTAATCTAAAGTTTTCTTTAAATTTAAAAGTAATTAATTTATTGTAATCTTTTTTAAACGGTAATTTTAAATTTAAAGCTTCGTGTTACAGATTACTTTAATTCTTATATTGTGTCTAGCGTTAAAATATATTTATGGGTAGTTTCATGCTTTCACATAGTTTTGGTTATTGGGATAAAAGCCATGACAACATTTTGTTATAAATTTATCTTAATTTAATTTTTATTGAAAATTTTGATATAAATAAAATTTATCTTTAATATTGTTAATACTTTTGTTCTTTGAAAAAAAATATGTTTCTGGCTCTTCAATAAATATAAAATAATTTGTCTTGCATGAATGAGTTTTGGTTTAGGATTTAATTGTGTTATTTATGTTTGTCTATCTGTAATTTATTTAGGTTATTAGAAAATTCATATTTACAGAGTTGTTATTAATCATAATCGAGTTGTTAAACCAAGGAAATTGTGGAGGTTTATTTATCATATATATATGATAAATAATACTGTATATATTTTATAATTATATTGGAGGAAGTAAGTTTAAAAGCATTTTTAAATTTTTAAATAAAAATACTTTTCAATATATATCTGTTTTCTTTGAGGTAGAATTAAAGTTTCAGTTTTTTAAAATTTAAATTTAAAGTTTCAAGTTTTCAAAATCTTTTCAAAATGTCTAAGTAGACATTGAGTATTTATAAAATCTTTTTAAAATTTTATAAGTAATTAGTTTATTGTAATCTTTTTTAAATTGTACTTTTAAATTTAAAGCTTCGTGTTATACATGTGAATTTTGAATATATAGATTACTATAATTCTTAGATAGTGCCTACCATTAAAAGATATTTTTGGGTAGTTTCATACTTTCAAATGCTTTTAATAATTAGGATAAAAGCCATGACAACATTTTGTTATAAATAAAATTTATCTATAGTATTGTTAATACTTTGGCTCTTTGAAAAAAAATATGTTTTTTTTCATTTCAAAAAGTTTAATAATTTGTCTTGCATGATTGAATTTTGGTTTAGGATATAATTGTGTTATTATATGTTTGCTTTTCTATTTATATCTAATTTATAAAGATTTAATTTATAGTTAATATATATATATAATTTATTTAATTTAAAATTAAGATATAAAATAAAATATCTAATTTATAAAGATTTAGATCATTAGAAAATTTATATTTACAGAGTTGGTATTAATCATAATCAAGTTGTTGAACCAAAAAAATTGTAGAGGTTTATTTATCAAATATACTATATATGTTATATAAAATTGAATGTTTGTTTATTTTTCTATTTAGCCGTTGGTGATAATATTGAAACAAGTAAGTTATAAAGCATTTTTAAATTTTTAAAAAGAAATAAAAATATTTTTCAATATATATCTGTTTTCTTCGAGGTAGATTTAAAATTTCGGGTTTTTAAAATCATATATATTATAATATTAAATTCTTTTTTACTTTAAAAATATCTATATTATAGCTACACTGAGTCGTAGAAAAAAAAATTAAAGTTTATTAATGAGGTAGTAGATTTTAGAGTAGATTAAATTGTTTGATCTATTTAATCAACTTAATAACGTACTATTAAAGTGAAGATTTATTTCGGTTGTTTGTTTGTTAAAATTTAGTTAGAGTTTATTTAAAACTTAGATTCTTTAGTTAATCAAGAGAGACCTAATAAAGGTATTAATTACATTAGTTGAATGTGACATTTAATATGTATTTTATCGATATTTTAACGTCTAAACATTAAAGTGCTTTTATTGTTTAGATGCAGAAGTGAAGAAGGAAATAAGTCAGTGTTTTTGCTATTGATATTTGTTAATAGGAATTTGTCTATTTGTACTGCCACTGGAATTTTAAAAAATCAAGTTCTTTAGCTTTATTTTATGCTTTCTTTTAGGGGAGTTGGAACAAAAACTAAATATAAATTATGATTTGTTTAGTTTAATAAATAAAGCATTAATATTTAGAAGATTTATAGTTTACTTTAGTTTATAGTTTTGGTTTAGTTTATAGTTTTGTTTTTAGCTTTAGTTATTTTTTTCTTACTTTAGACAACTTTATGGATGAAATGAGGAGATGGGTAAAACAATTATTTAGAAATGTATATATTTATTTGTTAACATTATTTTATCGATTATTTTATATTTATTTAAGTATATATTTGTCTTTAGTGTCTGGTGGAAGAATAGCTGGTAGGGCTGTGTTTTATATTTTATATGTTTTGTATGGAGAAATATGTGCAATAGGTGGAAAAATTAATTAATAAATATGACACTTTTGAACTGGTTGCATTATTGCCCTATATATTTATTAAAATAAAAAATGTTGCATGTTTAACCCTTTTTAATTTGCTCTCTCTCTCTTTTTTTTTTTAGCATCTTCTGTTTCGAATGAAAATGGTGAGGTTATGCTAATTTTTTTTTTAAATAATTGCAAATGTATAATTTTTATTATATTCTTCTATTTGTAACTTTAGATTCCATATCATTCGAAAAATACAAAAGTTACCGCTCCCAACACCCGGGACCCCTCTCAGAGAGGTCCTTCAACAAATGGAAAGATAATGGCGGAATGGATGAGCCCTCCTTTAAACGAAGGGCTCATCCATACCTGGGTGTTGGGAGACTCCGAAGAAAAAACAGCAACCAAAAGGTTGTAAATGTCTTCTATCAGTAGAGATATTTATGACTTTTTAGTTGCTGCTTTTTCTTCTTTTAATTGCTGCTTTTTTTTTGTAATTTTTTTTAAAATATATATTACGTTGTATATTTGATTTGTTTTGATCTCTTTTAATGAAAATTTTAATTCTTTTCTTACCAATTAAACCTGACTTCAATTTTAAAGCCCTCTTAAATACCCCTCCCTAAAATCTAAAGTCGAAAGTTGAATTGATTCATTATCCAATTATCATAATATAATGATGCTGCATTCTTTTGTTAAAAACAATTATTTGGTATGTTTCATTTATTGAACTCACTGCTTTTAAAATTTACCAAAACCCAAGGCAATATATTTAGCTATATAAACACAATTTATTTATCTCGATTCCATTCTTCATCTTTTATGTTTATAGTTTGGCTCCTTGAAGCATTTTATGTTTTGCTTTTTTTATTATGAGTATTTTAAATCCGTTGTGATGTCTTTTAAATTAAACTAAAGTTTACTAAAAGCCAACATAAAAATTACGTTTTTGAACAACACCAAAAAGAACAGCTGCATCCCTACAGCAACTGCTACAGTATCACAATAGGTTACCAAAAGCAGGTATACTGTTTTCCAGTTTTTTTTTTTTTTT